AGACGTACCAGTTCCTCCTTCATTCCACGTCGAATTGGTCTCGTTCCTCTAATGAAGCTTACAATAAAAAACGGAGAACTGAAAGGCAGAAGTAAATTCAAAACAACGCTTTGGGTTTTGCACAATTACGAGGTCGCAATACAAAATGAACACGGTCAGCATGTATACTTGAGGGCCCTCAGTGTGACCAGCTCGCTGGAGCTCGGACGGTCCCGAAAGCATGTTGATGCCTTTTAGCTAGAGTAAAGAGTCCCATACCGGACGCACAACAAAGACAAATTTAGTACTATTGCTGGAATAATTTACTAATTTTTCAACACTTTGTTTTCAGCAACCCCATCATCACACAGAATAGATTTCCTTCGACAGCACCGCGCATAGACACACCTTTCCTCCACAGTGACACCCGGCACACTGGCGCAGCTCTCGTGCGTCACTGAGTTGCCAGTTAGCAATGACTCTCGATATTCTCCCAGCACTGGTAGGCTAACTAATCATAAGTCGCATTAACACGTGTGTCATTCCTTTGCACTCAAGCGGTCAAATCACTTCAATCTCCTGTCTCATCGGCACCAAGCCCATCCGCCTGCACTCTAGGTAAATTCCTGCGAGGAAAGGCGACCGATGCGATAAAAACGTTACCATCGCTGGTAACCTTCAGTCACAGCCAAGAGCCGGTTTAATTGTGTTTAATTTTAGCGACACCTAACGAAAAAATGAAAACAAACATACCTCGCAAATCATCTTGCATTTAATAAATAAAAGATAAACTTCAAAACGGCAATGCTAGCCTTCAAGAAATACGAATAAAATACCAGAACGAGAAAAAGGCACTGAGCAAGGGACCCCTTGACGATTACCCATACTACTGCTCTACTCAGCATGCTGGGGCGTCTTTTGCAATCGATGACATGTAGATGCACATCCCGAAGCAAAGCAAAGCGACGATTTTGAAACCATAAGCACTTAGTCACGACTTCGAAGCCCTATTCTCCCCTCACGTTCATGCGACTTGTCATAGCATCGCACCTGCAAGCCCATGGCACCTGCACAGTGACTTGCCGTGGCAACAAAGCTCTGGCGTCAAACATTCACTCCCATGTCATGTCACTGCGCTAGGGAAATTAAAAGATATATACATGTGTGTGTGTGTGTGTGTGTGTGTGTGTGTGTGTGTGTGTGTGTGTGTGTGTGTGTTGTGTGTGTGTGTGTGTGTGTGTGTGTGTGTGTGTATTTCGAACATTTTGAGACATAACATGTCGGTGCCACATCCACAGCATGACACCAAAATAGAAAGCTCAACCACCAAGCTGCCTGTGCACGTGCTGGCACCTCAGAGGTCCAGATCCTTTCGCCAACTTTGAAAGAACTTGGCACCGCGGGAGGTTAGCATCCTGAGTCCGCAAGCTCGCATCCTGGCGACAGAAATCCTTAAACACGCCGGAGCTCAGCATCCACGTGATCTTGGTGTGAATGCTGTGCAATTTGCGACATAAAAGAGAAGAAACAAGGCTGAGCGACTTGGCGATGGGCGTGATTCAAAGGCTTCCCTAGCACGGCCTCGCACGAGATTTCGAAGGCCACCCGCGTGACAATAAGCAGCAAAATTAATCTAAACGCCCACCTTCTTGGCGGAGCCAGTCTCTGAATGCAGGTGAGACCGTGACGCGGAGAGAGGGAGAGGGGCGAGCCTCGAGTGACGCAACATCTGGTACCGAGATATAAAAAGAATTGGAAGAAGTCTCCTTCCCCGCCCCTCCGCTGCACCGCCGGGGGAACGCTATAGCATCTAATCATAACGGCACATGGCGCTGTCCTGCTGCGGAACAGGGATGGAAGCTGCTCTCGGGTTTCTCTCGTCGCTCAGAAACACAAATAGCGTAGACGCAGAAGCCAACGCGTCCAGACGCTTGCCTCAGCAATAACATTGATTAGTATTATTATTCTTACCACAGCTATCTGTGTTTATGAAATAATGGATAAAACAAGCATTTGCAAAACACTCTTCAGAGACTGCGACTTCTCCGCAGCAAGTAGCTGTTGATTTTTTATCTTGTACTTCTTTCTTGAGGGTAAAATTCTCTTTAAATGGCAATAGTAATAACAATAACAATAACAACTGCAATAAATGGCCAAAAAAATATATAAAACACCAACACACATTGTATATGTATGTGTAGGTTTATATACAGTATATGTATATCTTATGCATGGGTTGAGGGGTATAAATTGAAAATACCAACTGGAGATACACTCCTCAGATAAGCTACGAACGACCTGAGCAGGAGATGAGGTCATTCGCCCTACGAGTCACCTCGGTGAGGCCACAGACACTTTCAGTTCCTATAACAAAAGCAGTCAAACCAATTGGCCGAGACAAACTCACGCGGGAATGAAAGCAACCCCAAAGCAACCATCCAGACATTAAGCAACATTTCGATATCCTCTCCGTGAAGTGCTCCTGATACGGAGCAAAGGAGTGCTTAGCCAGACACAAGCG